TCGTTAGTTGGTAACATCAAATCAGCAGTTAGTTTTGCGTCGTTGTCTAAAAAGTACATTTTATTCATTGCGAAAAAATTAATTTTCAGCTCGCTAGAAAACAATTTTTGAAAATTACAATATATACAAAAAATACCAGACTAAAAAAAAAAGTTCACAGCAAAAAGTTTCACAGTTAAGTGTTTTAACGAAGTATCAACTTACATAATCGGTCTGAATACCCCTAATGTATTTGGTTTTTCTAATAAGCCTTATGAAAAATATTTCGTTCAGTGTGTCAGTTAGATATTTACAAAATTGCTTGAAAATATGTTTTCAAGTATACCTGAGCAATGTCCAATATAGCAAATATAATGATTTCCGATTTTCCACCTGACTTTAAACCGTACAGGTTGGTCAAAATGTGTGATATTTTAATAAAATTAAGTTTAAATACAATATATTATATTAAATTTAGCGCCTTGGGTTCAGTTTAAATAACATTTGTCCCATTTGAAGCAATAAAGCAATAAAACTAAGCTTGTTTATTGCATATAATATGACTTATTAAAATACCAAAATTCATTACTATCCATTCACGATTTCGTCGAATAAGTAATGTTGAATTCTTCCGCAAATTTTTATACTCTTACAACATGTTGCTACCGAGAATAATAGTTTTGTTTACCTAACGGTTGTTTGTATCACAAAAAAAGAATCGCGTTAGATATGGAGATATATATGTATATCAATGATCAGAATAACGAGACGAATTGAATTCCGAGTGAGTGTATGCCTGTCCGTTCGTCTGTGAAATCGATAACTTGATGGGCGGAAGCGGACCATTGCCACGCCCTCTAATCAGTTTAATGCGCATATCTCCTAAACCATTCAAACTATACTAACTAAATTCGTTTTGGGCAAATCATTTTGGCGTTCCTACCCACGCTGTGAAATTCGGAATATAATCCCGCCCACTCCCCATATACCAGTTTTGTTAAAAAGTACTAAAATGCAATAAATCAATAAAGAAATGTGCCATAGACTTAAAATTTTACACCCGAAATGGTACGATAGGGCTTAATAGAAACCATTGTCAAATGTTTCGATGGGACCGTGGAAACCCATATCTCAGGACCAAATTTGGCAGCTAATATTACTACAAGGAGCGTTCCAAAGTAAACAGTAAAAAAGTAAACTCTAGTGGTGCCATCTATATGTTGACTAGTGCGTTAGAATCTGCTGTCCTTTATGTCGATAAGATCCAGTAAAAATTTCATGACATTTCATCTATTGGAAGTGAAGTTATTGCGATTTAAGTGTCAGTATGTTTATGTCATCGGTGCGAAAATGAGCTTCGAACAAAGAGCCAACATTAAATTTTCTTTCAAAATTGGTAAAACTTTTACCGAAACGTTTCAATTGATGAAACCAGTTTATGGCGATGATTGCCTATCCCGTAGCAGAGTGCACGAGTGGTTTCAACGTTTTCGAAGTGGTCGTGAGGACATAAATGAGAAATGAGCCGAAACCCAAAAAATCGCGCCTGGAAAAGTCAATGCTGATTTGTTTTTATGATTCCAAAGGTATTGTCCATAAAGAATTCGTTCCACCCGGCCAAAACGTTAATGCGGTATTCTACCTTGGAGTTTTAAAGCGTTTGGTGCGCCGTATTCGTGTTCGGCCCGAATATCGCGAAGATGGAAGTTGGCGTTTGCTGAACGATATGCGCCGTCTCATCAATCGACGCTTGAGGCCGATTATTTGACCAAAAATCACATTTTAACAATCAACCACTCCCCGTATTCACCTGATATGGCACCGTGCGACATCTACCTTTTCGGAAAAATGCAACCGCTATGTTAGAAATGGGTGGAATCGGATAAATAACTATTTTAGTCCCCATATACCTAAAAGAAAGATTTTCGAACTTCCGGCTTTATATCGCATATATCGGAAAATATGTGAGTTATCTCAAATCTCTCCAATTAAGTTAGCGTGGTTTTCTAATAACGGTGCAATAGCGATTAGGCAGAAACTAAAATAGAAAAAATCGGGTGAAAACTTGCCCTAGACACGATCTAACTAATATTAGGATTTTCAGACATCTACTAGACGATTATATGTGAGGTATCTTAATGAAACGAGCAAAAAGCATTCTTTTCTGTTAATTATATGTAATAATGCCAAAAATAGATGAAATCGGGGTTCACCATATCTTCCATATATCTAATATAAAAGTTTTAATTTCGGGTTGGCTGTATACCGTATATTTTCGTCGATATGTAAGATATCTTAGCAAAATTAACTAATATTAAGGGTGAACCATTTCGAGGTTCCCTACTTAAAAAACCAACCATAAAAAATTTAAATTTAATGGGGAATTCTTATTATTATTAGAAAGAACATTATTTGGCATTTATTTTTATACTCTCGCAACATATTGCTACAGAGTATAATAGCTTTGTTCACCAAACGGTAGTTTGTATCACCTAAAACTAATCGAGTTAGATATAGGGCTATGTATATATATATGATCAGGATGAAGAGACGAGTTGAAATCCGGGTCACTGTCTTTCCGTCTTGAGATATCTTTATGAAACTTGGTACACATATTTCTTGGTTCCCGTAAGACTGTTGGTATTGTAGATGGGCGTAATCGGACCACTGCCATGCCCACAAAAGGCCATTAATCAAAAACAAATACATTGCCATAACTAAGCTCCACAATAAGATACAACTATGTTATTTGGTATACGGGATCACATTAAGGAGCGGCATCTGCAGTTTAAAAGTTTTTTAAAAAGGCGGCATGATTCCGCCTCCTAATAGATTTAATGTGCAAATCTCCTAAGCCACTAAAGCTATAATAACAAAATTCACTGAAAGCAAGTGATTTCAGTACCTCTACCGACAGTGTGGTACCGCCCACTTTTAGGTGAAAACACATATCTTGGGATCTGCTTAACCGATTTTAACCAAATTCCGTACATAATATTTTTCTCATATTTCTATGTTATGGAACGAAAATGGGCGCAATCAGACTAAAACCACGCCTATTTCCAATATAACACCATTTTAAATTCCATCTGATTCTTTCACTTTCAACTATGCAAATCAAGCAAAAATGCTTGTATCTGGGTAAAACTTTACGTAAATAATGCGTTTATAGTATGCCATCTTGTGATCAAAAATTGTCTTAGTCGAACCAAAACTATTCAAGCTCCTAGGTACTAAATATGTGGACCCAAGTGCCTATAGTTGAGTTTTTACCGAAAATATCGGTCAGTGTGTAAGATATAAAATTGAAATTTATATGATAAAATAAATAAACGAAACTCTCGATAATAGTATGTTTATGTGTCAAAAATAGGTTACATTTCTTTTAATATAAAATTTTGCTAACACCTGAAGTAATTTCCCGGGCTTTGATCCTTGCAAGTTGCGAGAGTATAAAATGTTACACCCGAACTTAAAATTTCCTTACTTGTTATACTCTCGCAACCTGTTGCTACAGAGTATAATAGTTTTGTTCACCTAACGGTTGTTTGTATCACCTAAAACTAATCGAGTTAGATATAGGGTTATATATATATAAATGATCAGGATGAAGAGACGAGTTGAAATCCGGGTGACTGTCTGTCCGTCCGTCCGTCTGTCCGTCCGTCCGTCTGTCCGTCCGTCCGTCCGTGCAAGCTCTAACTTGAGTAAAAATTGAGATATCTTTATGAAACTTGGTAGACATGTTTCATGGTACCGTGAGACGGTTGGTATTGCAGATGGGCGTAATCGGACCACTGCCACGCCCACAAAACGCCATTATTCAAAAACAAATAACTTGCCATAACTAAGCTCCGCAATAAGATACAAGACTGTTATTTGGTACACAGGATCACATTAAGGAGGGGCATCTGCAGTTAAATTTTTTTTTTAAAAAGTGGGCGTGGTCCCGCCTCTAATAGGTTTAATGTGCATATATCCTAAACCGCTAATGTTATAATAATAAAAGACACTGAAAGCAAATGTTTTTAGCACTTCTATTGACGGTGTGAAAATAGTTGAAATCGGGTGGCAACTCCGCCCACTCCCCATATAACGGTGCTGTTAAAAACTACTAAAAGCGCGATAAATCAAGCACTAAACACGCCAGAGACATTAAATTTTATCTCTGAGATGGTATTAATTGGCTTTATAGGAACCGCGTTCAAAATTAGACAATGGGCGTGGCACAGCCCACTTTTAGGTGAAAACCCATATCTTGAGATCTGCTCAGCCGATTTCAACCAAATTCGGTGCATAACGTTCTTTTCATGTTTCTATGTCATAGTGCGAAAATGGGCGAAATCGGACTACAACCACGCTTACTTCCCATGTAACACCATTTTTAATTCCATCTGATTCTTTCACTTTCCACTATGCAAATCAGGTAACAATGATTATATCGGGGTAAAACTTTGCGTGAATAATGCAATTAAAGTATGCCACCTTGCGGCCAAAAATTGTCTAAATCGAACCAAAACTGTTCAAACCCCTAAGTACTAAATATGTGGACCCCAGTGCCTATAGTTGACCTTCTACCGAAAATATCAGTCAATCCACAAAGAAATCTCAAACGAGTATACCATTTGACTTTGCGAGAGTATAAAATGTTCGGTTACATCCGAACTTAGCCCTTCCTTACTTGTTTTAATATACGTTTCATGAGACACGATATAATTATTTTAGTGATGATATCATCAATATTAGAAGTATGACTTCAAAGTTTAGAATAAATTCTTAGAATTAGCATCTATTTGACTTTACAACATCGATATTTCGGTATCTAGCTGTTTAAAGCTGAAACCATATAACATATGTAAGTTTGAATGTGTTAATATGAAAAAAATGCACATATGTTGTATAAGCAGTATTATAAATAATTTGAAATTGGTTGCTATTCATAAAAACCTTAAAAAACAATATAACATTTAAATACTCTTTAATCTATATCCTGTATTATCATTATTATTTAATATGCTTACTGTGGCGCTTGTGCAAGTCCATCATGAGGTGGTCGTTCAATATCAAAATCTTTGGGGAAATAAGGCGACGTCTCTGGTCTAAAGTCGACACCAGGAGCCAAATAAGTGTATTTTTTCTTTTCCTCTGGAACTATTTTTTGCCTGCAAGTACATGTAAAATGTATTTAGAGGAATTGTAAATGTTGTCTGAAATAACATCAATATATTATATATATATATATATTGTTTACAATATATGTGACATACATAAACTATTAATATACACTTTTCTTAACAAAACCTATTCGCATGTTTTTGCTATCATGCTAAATAAAGATTTACGTACTTCATATTCATGGCATCAATCTCGTTAATACCATGTTCCTACTAAAAATTTTGAATGATTCTATTCATTTATGTAGATTGTCCTTACTGCCGTTGGAGATTTATAAAACAGCTGTATTGGACAATCACATCTTTAAACGCCAATAATTAAAATTATATTTATTTGTTTGTTTAAATTTTTTTCTCTCTTTGTAGTGTATAAATCAGCTTTGATTAATTTAATTACAGGCAAACAGATGGCGCTAAACAGAGCCGGACAGGGAGATTTCGAGTAGATAAGCTTTAAGTCTCCTCGGTGACAAGATTAACAAGTATAATTTTTTAATGGCGAAACCTTACTAAATCCAGTAGATTAGAGAGATAATCTACTCAACAGCCTAAGTGATTAAGTGTCGCTTGGAACATGGTATAAGATTACTCATACTTGCTACGATTGCGGTCACAATAACTAATCAAAGTAGTTTACGCGCACCCTACATCCTAACTCACGCACTAGCATTCCTATATCGGTTTCACGATATGGTGGAAATTTTCATTGAAATATCGAATTTTTTCCAACTTTAACAATTAAAGTCAACTGGGCATTAGGAAATCACTATATTGAGTGTATTAGGATTATGAAAATGTTAAAGCTAATTGTATTTACTTTTGACATTAAATTAAATTATGTTCATGAACATGTCAACTCGGAAGCACCCTTTTTCAGAGCCGGAAATGACCTCGACCGAGTTTTGAATATTTCCATTTGAACACTTCACAAAATCTTTGTAAAATAAGAAGCATTGGAATAATAAAAGGTTTGAATAAAATATATATATACATATATATATTGAAAAAAGGTCGTTTTTTGTTCGAGGAAACACATGTAACCCTTTAAAAGAAATATTCATATCTCAAATAAGGAATAGACTTATGATGCAACATCATCATTCAAGGACAGATCACTTAACATACGAACTGAGAAATGACTTGGACGAAATAGTAAATGTTATGACGGAGATTAAAACAAATACGACTGGAAAATATTTCCGGTCCTAAAGTTTCCTTTGTGTTTCCTATGAGTTTTTAAGACTCTATCTCTAAAAAAAATGGTGAGCCGCACACAAAAATACTCAGGAAGAATTTTCAAACCTTACAGAATGCTAACATTTAATGTCACTTGAACAAATGCGAATTCTTCAAAACTATGGTAGAATTATTAAGTTTTGCCTTATCCAGTAAAGGCATCCGAATAAAGTTTTAGCTATAGCCAATTACGCTCAACCAAACTCATTAAAAGAACTGCGATAATTTCTTGGTCTAGGCAGTTAATATAGGCGTTTTATTAAAGACTTCGCTAAGTCAAACCAGTTAGCTCAATTTGAAGAAGGGATAATGGACGCATGTTCAAAAGAAGATACGCCAAAAAGGCAAATGATTTTAATTAAGAAGTGCACTAGTGTCTGAAGAAGTAATACTATAATACTCCGATTACAATAAGGAATTCCAGTTAACCACGGAGGCTTCAAACTTCTCAGCGGAAGCCGTGTGATCTTAAAATATTAAAGGGATATTCTTTTTTTTCAAGAACCTTTTCCAAAGTGTAAGAAAATTATGCAATAGAAAAGAAGAGGTTAGCAATAATGTGAAATGAGAACACTTAAGTCAAAAGATCTTATTTAATTAGAATAAAGAGGTAGGTAGGTAAGAGTGTCGTCCCTACGGGCTCAATTAGCGCTTACTTTACTTAGAATAATACAATCAGAAACTAATTTACAAACCAGGCAAGAGAATAGTGGGGTTGATGCGTTATCAAGAATCAATTAATTCTGTATAAGTCGTATTCACACCTAGCATTGAGGTACACATTAAAATCAGATATTTTTAAAGGGAAATTTTACAGATTACGTTTTTAGTATCCCACATGCGACCTTCCATAGATACGTAATAACACAGCCAGACTTGACTGCCGAAAACCTTACTATTGTTCTAAAAATATACATGAATGCGTAATAATCGGATGAAAGTAATTATATAATACCCAGTATCAAAATGGCGCATCTAGCGCTAATTGAGCCCAAAGGGGTTGCACTCTTACCTACCTACCCCTTAAATTTTAAGAATATCAAATCTAGATTAACCTCAAGTTGAAGACCTTGTTACAGCAGTTGAGCACTTCTTCAACTTCATAAAAGAGCATAGCGAAGCGATAACTTTTACTTTTCCAAAATGAAGTAAACTAATATAGCACTAATAAACTAATTTGAGAGAATGGATAATAAATAAGTATGGAAGCGCTAAGTTCGGATGTAAACGAACATTTAATACTCTCGCAAAGACAAATGGTATACTCGTTTTAGATTTCTTTGTGGATCTTGCCGCCTTGTTCTATGTTGACCCATATTTTCGATAAAAAGTCAACTGGGGTCCACATATTCAGTACCTAGGGGCTTGAACAGTTTTGGTTCAATTTAGATAATTTTTGTTCACAAGGTGGCATACTTTAAACGTATTATTCACGCGAAGCTTTACGACGATATAATCATTGTTGCTTGATTTGCATACTGGAAAGTGAAAAAATTCAGATGGACTTTAAAATGATGTTATATGGGAAATAGGCGTGGTTGTCACCCGATTTAACCCATTTTCACACCGTTAGAGATAGAGATGATAAAAACATTTGGTCCCAGTAAATTTTGTTCTTATAGCTTCAGTGGTATAGAAGATATGCACATTAAACTTATTAGGGGGCGGGACCACGCAAACCTTAAAAAAATTTAAACTGCAGATATACCAAATAAGAGTCTTGTATCTTGTTGTAGAGCTTAGTTATGGCAATTTATTTGTGTTTGATTAATGGCGTTTTGTGGGCGTGGCAGTGATCCAATTACGCCCATCTGCAATACCAACCGTCTTACGGTACCAAGAAACATGTGTACCAAGTTTTAAAAAGATATCTCAATTTTTACTCAAGTTACAGCTTGCACAGACGGACGGACGGACAGACAGTTACCCGGATTTCAACCCGTCTTTTCATTCTGATCATTTATATATACATAAACCTATATCTAACTCGATTAGTTGTAGGTGATACAAACAACCGTTAGGTGAACTAAACTATTATACTCTTTAGCAACAAGTTGCGAGAGTATAAAACAAAACTATTATACTCTGTAGCAACAAGTTGCGAGAGTATAAAAATCGTTTAATTCAGCTTCTATTACTTTCATGCTCAGTGATCAATTGAATATTCAGCTTTCAAAACTCCACCATAAAAAAGTACAGCCAATGGTCAGACTGAACACCGAAATCATGATATGCCTAAAAACAAAGCGGGAACATACATAAACGATTCGATATTCTGAACAGACAATTTTATGAAGATAACTACTCTATACATTTAGTAACTAGGAAAAGTCTATTTAAATTTTTTTGGTCTGGACAAAACCACTAAAACGGATTCGTCGAAATTACAAACCACTCAGACGCGCAATAATATTAGATACGCAATACAATGGGCAAGATCAAAAATTATTAATTCTTTGCTCACAAATGAAGTTGAGTAGGATGAAAATAAGAAACTATTTGAATCACGTAATTTGACATACTTTTGACGCCTGCTTGAGGACCAGCTGAAATTGTAGAAGAAAAGGGTAACGTCAAAATTGTCCAATTTCCCACATAGTAATATGGTAAAATGCTGATATATGATTTCCAAATTAATGCGAGTGCAGACCATAATTCAACAGAAATTGCAATTAGAGCGATTGCACGCTCCATTGAATTCCACATAATTTTATGTTCTGCAGTTTTTTGCAACAGATTACAAATGTTTTATTGATTTACATGAACAAGTTTTAGGAGAATATGCATGCTAAGTTTAGCAAAGCTTAATGTAAATCACTCAGTTATCGTGCAATTACTTGGTTTCTTGGTTTTCGACCAAAATTCATTTAACGTGTGTTATTTAATTATCTTTAAGATTAAATTAATGACTTTTTTGTTATTTTACAACGTTTATCCGATTCTGCTCTTGCTATTTATTACGAACATTTCTCTTGTAATAGATTTTATAACCATATATACGCCGACATTATAAACCTTTTCATATCAATTTGGTTACTTGGTGTGAAAGAAATGATATGTTACTGAATCTAAAATATGTAAGACCATATGCTTTTATCGCAAATCTGAGTAACCCTCTCCCTATATAATAAAAAACTATAGTCAAAAGCACACATTTAAATTTATTAATTCGGGAGTTATTATGAACCCTAAACTTAATTTTAGTCTTTATGTTAATACAATGGTTTCGAAAGCTATAGATATACCCTCGTTAACAAATATGTTCTGAGCTTTAGACCCTTGAGGTGCCCACACCCCATAGAACGGTTAGGTTGAAAGCTACTAGAAGTGCGATAACTCACTGTATATATATATACCTATATATATGTGGAGGACTCTGTATTAAGATTGAACAGTGGGCGTGGCACCGCCCATCTTTAGATGAAATCATAAATGTACATATCCCAGTATCTACTTGACTAATTTTATCCAATCAATCGAAAACACACAGGCAACTTATACGTATAAAATAGAAAGTATGGGTCGATTTCTTCCCTTTTCGGATCACAATTGCAATATATCAGCAGAGAACGTATATCATAGAGAAGGTTCACAGTGCGGCCATTGGCAAAATATTTCATGCTTCGCAGGGGAACTGAAAAAGATGAGCGTGTTTCACCACATTTGGAAGGGGTACTGAAAACGATGAGCGTGTTTCACCAAATGTCCACAATTAACATCAGGGGACTGAAAAATAGCAGAATTGAGCATTTTCAATGTTAATTGAGAAAAATAATGCTAATTTCAATGTTAAGAAATGTACGCTTACAGATTCGTATATTTACAATGCGCAAACGACTTTTCATATAATTTGAAGATATTCTGCCTATACAGGGTGGCTAACGAATCGTGCTACAAAATTAAACCGCAATAAATTTCTTTTTAGTCAATGCATTACATTTAATTTTGTTATTGTATAGAAAATTTTATTTTATTTAAACAATTAATTATTTTTCCATACTCAACCACGCATATGCGACACCTAATTCGGGATTGCCTCAATTATCTATTTAATGGACCGCTTCAGTTCAGTCAGATTTCTGGGTTTGATTTTGTACACCTCTTGCTTGACATAACCCCATAAGAAAAGACCAAGCGGTCGCAAATATTCTTATACATTATATATGTATAATTATGTGTGCATGTAAACAAATATGGAAGTACCCTTTATAATTATTAATTTGTCTACATGCAACATATGTGTGTAAGTATGTACACTCATTGTTTAATGCGAAATCTCCGTTGCCCTGGACAACCAATGGCCGAAGCTCACGTTTTTTGTTTTCTTGTCAAAGAGTCACTGTGTCGAAGGGCTGACGCGACGACAAAGCGTCACAACATTGTGTTGTTGGTAGAAAATCCGAGCTGTGCCGAAAAAATATTAACGAACGGCCGCCGATTGTCACCGCTTCCCTTGCCGCTCTAACAGCTTTGCCCACTAATGATCGTAAATACGCATGTTTATATATGAGCATGCATACATATTGACGCAGATTTTTGTGAGACACGGAAAAATATTTTAAAATTGTAAAATATTTTAAATCGACAAAAGCTTTGTTGCCAGTTTTGTCAATTTTTTCTGTGTTTTGTGGGCTTGCGTGGTTGCAAGTTTTCCCTTTCAGAGGGAATATCAGAAATTTGTTCAATTTATGATTTTTAGCTTTTGCCATCGTCGCGAAAAGAAGCTTGTTGGCAAACGCATGCTCGCGGAGATGAGAGGTTGTCTGTTTTTATGAATGAAGCGAGGTTGCTTGTTAAAAGTACGCCTGCGTTCATGAATGAAAATGTTGTTGTTGTGTGATTTACTATAAATTTGGGCTTCGCATATTTGGCTGACATATTGACTTGTGACGATTGTTGTTTTTGTAGAACAAGTTTGTAGTTTTTGCGAGTGACATATTTACGAATATATGAATGTAGGTTTGTGTATCCATTATTTGTGTAGCAATGTCATAAGCACATATGTATGTATGTACATATAGAGCAGTGCGCGCAAATGTTATTACTGATAAATGATAATAACTTGATTTGAATTTGAATTGTATTTACATAAGTACATACATATGTATGTAAGCTTTAAATCATGAAAGGTGTGATTGGCATATATTACTATTTAAATATATTAAGATATTATGTTAGTGTGTTATATACTTATGTATGTATGTATATAGTAAAACATAGCAGATATATACATATGCATACATATGTACTTATATGAAAGCATTTCATAATATCAAACATAAGCAATATTTAAAAAGCAACTGCAAATATTCCTTTGAAGTAATATATTTTAACTAAAATGTAATACATTTTTCATGATATCATAGATATTCAGAAAAGGAATTTCATATCTATGAATATGATTGCATATAAACGTATAAAAATATAAGCTAACATGCGGCTGTAATATCAATGCAAACTTCTGAGTATAATTTTCATACAATGCTCAGCTCTGTTCACTCGCCACTGTTAAAATTTCTCCTTCCGAGCCGACTGTGGTGAAACACGCTCATCGCATTTTGTTAGGTTTTGACAATTCCCACGCTGGTCCGTAGTTGGACCTTCTCTGTATTTTACGTTCTCTGATATCAGCATTCTTTCTGTTATATCGTAAAGTGGGCGTAGTAGCAGTTCAAATTTGTCGACTGCTTATGTTATTTCAAAGAAGCGGAACTTTTTATTTCAAGTACGCTAAACAACGCATCAATGACTGGAAGAAAAGCTTCCGTACGAAATTTGTTTATCGGTGAAAGTTGCACTGTTGAAAGTTGAAGCGAATTCTAATAATACTTTAGGCAATATTCGGTCTTTTGTGTGATTGTGCATTAATTTTTAGGCTTTGAGATAAATGATACACGCAACTGTATGATATTTTTTTACCTTTTCACATCGTTTCCGCAAATGATGCTCAAAATCTTTTTAGCACTGACTCTATGTAATGGCGTTATTTATCTGTATCACGTGTTGTATAAGTCCGATTGAATTCGGCTGGATGGCGTTAGAAAGATGATGTTTCGTGCTAAAAATCTTTTCTGACAGTTTTGTCATTGGTTTTGGTTGAGCGCGCGTCAAAGATGGATAAACAGAAATAGCAAAAGCTATATTTTTCAGTTTTTCTTCGATAAGGGCGAAAACGCAAGCCGGGCGGCTGAAAATGTAAGTAGCGTTTATGGTCCTGATAATGTAACAGCCAATCATGCACAATTTTGGTTTCGTCGATTCCGTTCCGGTAATTTCGATGTCAAAGATGCACCACGCTCTGGAAGACCAATTATCGAAAAAATCTGTCAAATAATGGAAATCGTCGAGTCCAAACATCGATTTCGATTGTCCAGGCTGGATACGAAAAGTAATAATTAAAGCATTAAATTTCATGCAAAAATAATGGATTTCTTTTTACTTAACCTAATATAATTTATTTTAATTGTTGACTTAGACCACTTTCATAATTAACACTAAATGAATTCCGTATAACGTTATAATTACAACTACTATCCAAAGGTTCATTTTTGACGATATCGTAAAAATTACATTGAATTCATTTAGTTTAAACTCATTTCTAACCTTCTAACATTTCCATGGGCACATATATGTACATTATTTTTGGGAAATGGTTTGTAAAGAAATATTTTTTTTAGGATTTTTTCTTTTTAAAGAATTAAGAGTATGGGGGATGTAATTATAATTGATAGCTATAGCCGTGGGAAAAGCGTGATGTATCCAAATCTAACCCACAAACAGGCATCGTTTGGCCTTTTGACTTATTGATCGCCATTGCGAATGCCAATCTAATTGAAAATTGAGAGCATTTAAATTCATTTTGCATTCAAAATATTAGTTTTGATAATGTTTGGCATTAATTTTCTAATGACTTATCTTGTGCGATTGCGAAGCCGTATTGGGTCCAAATTATGAAGCAAAATAACCGAAGATCCACCCCATGCCCGGCATATCCAATTAAATAAAATAAATGTTCTCAGCGCCATCATTTTTGTAGAAATATAGAACGATGATTCCATCAGCAAACAAATTACACCAAACCGTTAGTTTTTCTGGATGAAATGACAGCTCTTGAATCTCTTCTGATTGCTCTTCGTCTCACATGCGGCAATTTGACTTGTGTTCATACCCATTGAGCCAGAAATAGGCCTCATCGCTGAACAAAATTTGGGTCGAAATCGTCAGATCTTCTTGGAACTTTTCAAGAGCCCAAAGTGCGAAGCGAATTCGCTTGGGTAGGTCGAGCGGATTCTTTTCTTGCACTCGTGTGCTGGGCGCGGTCAATTTGGTCGAATATTATCCAATAATGAACGCTAGGTCTCAAGATGGGTGGTGGTGTTCCGTACGCGCAGTAGATCGATTACGTTGACCATAAGTTGAGCGACACACATTCTTTACAGAACGNTTAACTAAAATGTAATACATTTTTCATGATATCATAGATATTCAGAAAAGGAATTTCATATCTATGAATATGATTGCATATAAACGTATAAAAATATAAGCTAACATGCGGCTGTAATATCAATGCAAACTTCTGAGCATAATTTTCATACAATGCTCAGCTCTGTTCACTCGCCACTGTTAAAATTTCTCCTTCCGAGCCGACTGTGGTGAAACACGCTCATCGCATTTTGTTAGGTTTTGACAATTCACACGCTGGTCCGTAGTTGGACCTTCTCTGTATTTTACGTTCTCTGATATCAGCATTCTTTCTGTTATATCGTAAAGTGGGCGTAGTAGCAGTTCAAATTTGTCGACTGCTTATGTTATTTCAAAGAAGCGGAACTTTTTATTTCAAGTACGCTAAACAACGCATCAATGACTGGAAGAAAAGCTTCCGTACGAAATTTGTTTATCGGTGAAAGTTGCACTGTTGAAAGTTGAAGCGAATTCTAATAATACTTTAGGCAATATTCGGTCTTTTGTGTGATTGTGCATTAATTTTTAAGCTTTGAGATAAATGATACACGCAACTGTATGATATGTTTTTTTACTTTTTCACATCGTTTGCGCAAATGACGCTCAAAATCTTTTTAGCTCTGACTCTATGTAATGCTTACAACTAACTGCATGGAACTATTCACTAAATTTAACTTGATATCATGAATAATCATTTCGTAAATGAAGTTAATCATTTAGTTCAAAATTGATACTATTGTCATATGCTTAACAGAAGTTATTCGCTGGTAAAAATGATCATATCTTAAGTAACGGAATATGAACTATGGATAATTACCTATATGTTTGCAAGTATGGGCTGGGGTCGCTTACACCATATTTATTCTCAACTCGAACTCGTAGTCGGTAGTCGCGGAATGGTTCTAATCCGTCAATAACGCAAGAGCAACTCCTAATTCCAGCGTGAACCGTGCGCCAGTCTCCGCTTGGCAAATCCATCATTTCCACCTAAATAAACGTTTGGATGAATATCAATATGATAATTGCAAATGTATATGCATGTATATTATTTGAATCTAAAAAAATGTTAAGTGTTCAAAGAGATATAAGTATAGAAATAAGTACACAAAGTATGCATAATGAACATACAAGTATAATCGAAATAGTACAGTGGTTTAATCAAAGATAAATTCTTGAAATATAAAAAAGTTTAAATCTAATAAATTGAATAATAATTTACATATCATTTTATCAATGTATAAAAAAAAACAATATTTTAATAAAGCCATTATAACCGAGCATTTTATACTCTGTATCGTTCTCGTTTTACCGTTCCCACGACAGTCGGTTCGTACGTAATCGGAACGGACCCGGATATTTATCGGGTCAAGAACTGTCAATGCAACAGCATTCATCCAAATTACTTTAAGAAGGTTTTTTTCTACCGCTAAGGAATCATGAGGAATTAAAAATTGTGGTACATTAAAATTAGACGTTATTGTAGTCCGATTTCATCCACTTTCACAATTTAACATACTTATGTAGGAATAGCAAGATAATATTATGCACCAAATTTGATTGAGCATTTGAATAAGTCGTTCCTGATATATGGGATTTCACCTAAAGGTGAGCAATGGTACACCCATTATCCAATTTTGCAGCGATTCCTTTGAAGTCTTTCCATTAGTTTTCAAAATAATCGTTATATGGGGGGTGGACGAGGTTATCATCCGATTTCACTTGTTTTTACACTATCTGAGTACGCGCTGGTGGTATTCTCCCTCCGAAAATTTATTTGATATAAGTAGCTTTAGTAGTTTATAATTTACGTGTAACTTTTTTAAAATTTTCATGCTCCGGATACCCCTCCTACTAAAATTCCCTGTACCAAATTGCAATTTTTTATCTTAATTTAGAAGTTAGTTCTAGCACGGGTCCAATTCCACCCATCTAAAACGCCAACTTTCCTTGGATGCCCAAAAACCCGTGTACTAAGTTTCATTGCGTTTTTAAAATTTTTACTCAAGGTATCTCTTGGGTGGACGAACACACAGTCACCTGTAAAAAGGTTGGAGGGAGCGAGTTGTTCGCCGAGGCGAGGACAGGAGCGAAGCTTGGTCCTGGAGCAAAGGCAAGCACTATTAAGTCAGCAGAAACCAAAGCTGGCTCCAATAAAGCAACAGCGCCGGAGGCAGCCCATACCAACCCCTGTAGCCGAGGCTGGGCTGCTAAGCAGGGGAAGGCAGGAGATGCCAAAAGTAATGCAGCCGGTAGTGGGTCAGCCAGAGAGCCTACCTTTAAGATTGAAGACCCAAAGAAGGCAAAATATACATAGAAGCAACGCGCTGCATACCTGCTGAGAAAGGTGGAGCTGCAATCACCAAATAATGAGGAGCTCACAAAAGAGCTCCAGGAACCCATTAATTGCGCGAGAGCTGTCTTGTCTAATTTTAAGATAGAAGCGCCGGCAGTGACGGCTAAGAGACAAAAGTCAGCTGAGCCCAACGGAAGTGGATGCAAGTCGCACTGACGAAAGTAGCGTTGGAGGTGCTACTAAGCCAGGTCCGCCCCCGTCATATACGGATGCCGGATGGTATCAGCACCAGATCAAGATGATAGCATGTAACGATGAGAGATCGGTCCAGCTTTATAAGGCCGCAATAGCTAAGGTGGTTGAGATCTACCCCGGAGCCAGTCTAGTATCCCATCCCGACCGAGGGCAAGGGTATGGATCCCGACTACACCATCGCAGCCGGACCAGATAATGCTGCTCATCAGAGCCTGTAAGACGAATTTGCCAACTGGGGGATGGAGGTTTGTCAAGGCCTTCGATGACCCCGCAGCGGAATCTGTTGTGGAGACGAAACTGTTGTTACTAAGAAAAGTGACGCAGAGATCAACTACGGGTTCACAAAGGTGAAGGCAATGGCCTACAAGTCAGACGCTCATGCAGGCGTCGAATTCGGAATGTGAAGTCGAGGAAGATCCAATAGAGTCCTCGAGTGACGTGGAGAGCACAGAGCAAGGTAAGTGTACTTCGGGGTCTGAGCTCGCAGACAGACTCTCTAAACTATACACTGGGCGTATACGCGGTCTGAAGACACCGGAGTATAATTTATATATGGCAAGCGGCGTAGGTAAGGCTAGGACATGTATATTGTCTACTAAGAAGCTAAATGTCTTTTTACTACACAGTTATAGTAATAACGACACAATAGCCGTAAGCTGGGAGATGGGCGGAAATAAATACCGTCCGGCGTCATGCTACATGCCGTATGACGAGGTAGCAGTACCAACGCAGATGAATAAAGAGCTGGAACGAGACTGCGAAGCATCCAAGTGCTCGATTATACCTGGGTGCGACTACAACGCACACCACACACTATGGAGCATTACTGACATCAACGAAAGGGAAAATAGCTTACTAGGAAATAAGCTTTTGTTATGCAATAATGCAGTACGCCAACATTTATGACTAGAAACCGACAGAAAGTATTAGACATAACACTTATGTCGGAAGAACTGGTATATAAATTTCCCCACTGGAGAGTACTGCAGGAACACTCCTTCTCAGATCACCGCTACATTGAGTGTATAATTGAAGAGAATGTAAATAGGGTAGAGTTATTTAGGAATCATAGGAAAACGAACTGGCAGATGCACCTGCTGAAACTAAAAAAGCGTATTCCAATGATTCCGCCTTTTCAACGAGATAACAAAGAGGACCTAGTCATCCTCGTTAAACAGTTTACAGATTCTTGTTGACAAGCACTAGAGGTGGCTTGTCCAATAACACGCAGTAGGGGAAGAATTAGGCCCCCTTACTTAAGAACATGTAAAAAGATTGGAGGAAGCAATTAAATTTCGAAACATAACATTGTATACCTTCAGAAGCGAGACCAAAGCTGGACGGTATACAGTAAAGAGACTCTAGCCCTGCTAATGGATACTCACTTTTCATATAGTTCCGAGAACCACACATTTGAGCATGCACTGGAGAGTAAAGTGGTAGCAGAGTCCCCTCCTGTAGACAGATAGTAATTTTTATTGAGCGATAAGCAGCTTCAAGCCTTATAAATCGCCGGGACCATACGGGATAGTCCCGGCTTAGTTACAGCAGTCCCAGAGTTACATAATAAACTGGTTAACAACCATGCTTAAAGAGATACTGCAATTAAACTATCTTCTCGCGATATGGAGGAAAGTCAAAGTAATATATATACCAAAGACAGGCAAAAGCTCACACACTAATCCAAAGGATTTTAGACCTATTAGTCTTTTATCGTTTCTCTTAAAAACGCTAGAGAGGCTAATGAAATACACATAAGGAGCAAACTAAACCCAGGAAAAATGGCAGTTTCGCAGCATGCGTATTTTAAGGATAAATCTACAGAAACGCCATTAAGCTCAGTGGTAACAACGACACAAAATAATACACGCTGGTAGCTTTCTTAGACATAGAAGGTGCTTTTAATAACACCCAGCCGAAGGCCATACTGAGCGCGCTTAAAGATTTGGGCATCTCTAAGCCTCTCCGAAAATTAATTGAACAGATGCTCTTGGGCAGGCAAGCTACTTGGGACCAATTTTGGACAGGAAGCTTTCGTGGAAACCAAACTTGGAATCTAGGGTAAAGAAAGCAGCTACAGCACTTTACGCGTGTAAAAGAATGGAGGGGACCAGATGGGGACTGAGGAAAAGAAATTCGTGATTAGAAGTATGAAAAAATAGTATTTGCATCAGTGGAACTCTCAGAACAACACCAAGCCAGGCGCTAAACGATAACCGAGTAGATGGCGGTGTCTTCTCAACTAAACTAGATACCAAAATCGCCTTTCGACTTCCAGACCACTGCAGTGTCTTCCACGCAGAGATCACAGCAATCAAAGAATGCCTTCTTGTACTGACAAGGAGGACAATAGGTCCCAGCACACAGTGATATCCTCGGGAACTGTGTAGCAGATGAACTAGCGAGACAGGCATCACCCTACAACTTGATTCTGGTAAGAAGGACATATATTAGATATGCCTCTGGCTACTTGTAGATATTTAATCGACAAGCATGTCATGTCTGACTTGCTCAACAAGCATGCAAACATGGCATGAATGGAATATGAGCCGCACATGCCGACTGTTAAAATTCAAACGGAATGACATAAGAACTCTAGTAGGAGTACTAACAGGCCACTGCCTAATAGCAGAAATGCAAGTAGGCCTGGAACGCCATATAACGACTATTGTAAAAGCTGTATGGAGGTAGAAGAGGAGGAAACATCTTCCATGCGATTGCAAAGCTCTATATAGGAAAAGAATCGCGGCCATCGGTCGAGGGTTTCTAGCCGACGTTTCGGACGTTGCACGGATAAAACTTGTCTTACTGATGAAGTTCATCAGAAGTACGGGGTGATTCAGAGAGGAGCCAAATAGAGTGAGGGGACCTTAGTCCCGTTGGTATTAAAATGGGCCTCCTTAAGCCCCAGGTGTGTCGAAAGACAGCCACTCTACCTACCTACCCACTTTAATTTTTCCTTATTTTTTTTCAAAACAAAACTAGCATCATAAATATTTCTGTTATTTTGTTTCTTGTTTTCTGGTTTTTGTAATATAAAATGAAAATAAAAATTTTAAAATTTAAAAATGAACGGGAGCAAATTTTACAAAATCATTAGCTTCATAAACTGTGACCACAAATATATATCAAATAGATCTTATATCTAGGACAACAAAACCACTATATACCAGTGTAATTTATATATTATATTAAGTGTACATATATTATACTTTTGTAGAAAAGTGACTCAGTTTTCTTCATTGACCAAGGAGTCGATATGCTGTCTGTCTTAATGGAATAGCACGGACCACTATAGAACAACTATAAAAACGTCGGATTACGAGTATATGAATATTGAAAACTTACTTAGATGTATTTATATTGTATAACCCCATTCGAAGGGATAGCTGAAAAATCGGTAGCATGAGAACATAAAAAACATTGTAATAAATTAATA